ACTTGGAACTCGGTTTTTGCCTTGTGTTGATTTGTAGCCCTTGAAACTTTTGAGGTTTGCTTAATGCCTAAATCATGGAGGGAAATTGTTTTGTTGAACCCCAAACTTTGCCTTGTGGAAAATTTATCTAACCGAAAATCTTGGAGATTTTAAACCATGGAATTGAGAACTTTTTGACTGCACCTTGACCCGAACACCGACCCTGTCTGGATGTAGCCACGCGAAGTGGTGGTTGAGCACGCAAGCCCGTGCTGAGAGACGTGAGGCTACCGGCCGGGGCCAATCGTTGACTCGCATGTGAGCTGCAGCCACCATCACCGAACGCACGAACTCCCCAGTACAGTGTGTACGGTCGACCTTTGACATTGAAGCTTTCTTCTGAACCTTGAACCGAGAGCTCCAAGCTTCACTGAACCGTTGTGGGGTATTTCCCCTAGATCAATAAATTTCGACGAGCGAGACTTGTTGATTAGTTCCTACGCCATGAGTGAGATGTTCTCAAGTTGGCAAGTTGTGACTCCGCAATGTTGTCGAGCGGTGTCACGAGTCTCGTTTGGAGACTATGATGCTTCATAGGTTGAGACTATGAAGAGTGTGTTAGTGGACAAGTTTTCAGCGTGACCCGGTCACGGTACTAAAGCTTGATACCACGTGTTGACCCCTGTTGGGGGAGGTTTGTAGCATGATGTCAATACACTGGAAAGACTGTTTGGAGTCTTGTGTGTTGATAGATGCGTTGTGAGGAGTTGTACGGGCGTATGTTGAGAATGTCGCGGTACTGGATCGAGGTAGGTGATCCTGTATTTCTGTAGGATGCACCGAGGTAGGGTGTGATCCGTTCCAGGAAGAGGGGAAAACTCCAGCCGTGATTCGTAAGACCATGTGTGATACTCGAACGAGTCAGTGACCTAGTATACCGGTTGGCATTACCACTAGTTTTAGCGGGGTTCACGACGTATTCCACGTGTGATGTTTCGTGAGAGCGTGCGTGACCCTGAGCATGTGGTGTGGACTTTGGCGAGTTGCGGGTCGAGTGAGAACTTACCTAGGTTGAGGTACCGGTGGCTATTTTGGACCGGAGGGTCTTCAGCTGAGAAACCGGGCAGCTAGACTTGTCAAAGGTGCGATGGAGCCGGCATGGCGAGGATGAGGCGACTCGGGAGAGAGAGGCTGATATCCGGCGAAAGTATTCGAACTTCATGTTTTGAGTTCCCCTTCGTATTTTATTGCTTTCTAGTTATATTTTCGAATTCCGAGGACGAAATTCTTTGTAAGGTGGATAGATTGTAATACCCTGTTTTATTGTGGATTAATTGAGAATAATTCCTGACTATTGTTATTATTAATTTCTTCATTATTATTATTATTATATTATTATTATTATTATTATTATTATTATTATTATTATTATTATTATTATTATTATTATTATTATTATTATTAGTAGTATTATTATTTGTTGTTATTAGTAATATTACTATTATTAATATTAATTATCTAAATGTTATATTATAATTAAATAAATTATGTGTACTATATATGTAAATATTAATGTCCTGTTTTATTTTATTATCGCCCGATTATTATCGAGCCCGAGAAATTATCTTAAGTGTGTGGAACCGAGAGAACTGGCATTCGATCTCAAAGGACCCGTGCACTTGTGCCCGCCCGTAGACACGGTCCGCCCCTCATCTCGTGGGTTGAAACCCTACTTGTATATATATGTTCAAACCCTTAGCTTTCACCTCAATTTGAATCATTCTCGCAGCCTTTTTGGTTCTTCTGCACACGTCTCCCTATCGTCTATAAACTCAGAGTAAAATCTCTCCCCTTTCCCCGTCGCCATATTAAGCCTCCATCGCTCATCTCTCTCTCTCTCTTTTGCGAGCAGAATCAGAAAATAGATAACTATCCCTCTCTCTCAATTGCTGCTCTCTCTCGCAAAAAAAAAAAAAAGAAAACAGAGCATAGAGAGGATGAAGAGACATGCCATAATTATCGTGTTCCATCATCACCTCGACTCAAACAGAGAAGAGAACCACCTTCGAGGACCCTTGTCATCACCATCTTCACCCTTCATCAACCATCATCGAGCTCACATCGCCGACACCATCTCCCCGGCGAGTCTGTGAACCAGTCCGGCAAGGCGTCAGCGCTGCTGTACCTCCACGCTCTCCGGCGATTCGCGCTCGCAGGCCACCGTCGACCATCATCAGCATCTCCATCATCAGCATCACCGCCTTCGCCGTGACCTAACAGCAGCGACCCTGTTCACGCAACGATCTCCGCGAGCGACCACCATCTCCGGTGAGCTCCCTCCCTTCGTCGGGACCCGTCGAGTTCCGTCGAAGTGTCTATCGTGACCGTCGAGTCCCGTCGGATTCCGTCGGAGTGTTAAATGAAGCCGACGAGTTCAGGACGCCGAGCCGCCATTTACGCCGCCATCAACCTCCACCACCGACTGCTGCCTTGCTGCCCTCGCGTGAAGTCACTCATCGTCACGCGATCGTCTCCATCAACCACCAGCGAGCCGAGCGTGAGCCGTCGAGCCCCGTTGTGCACCCTCGACGACCCCCCTCGTTTCATTTTTCAATCGATTCCCGAGAGCGGTACCTAGGCTCGAACCTCGTCTCGTTTAATTTCATGATTGTGTTATTGTGATTGATGTGTCAATGTGCTGATCGTGTGGATTACAAGTTGATTACGTGCCTTGGATATGTTATTGTGCCGTATATTGAATTTATATGTGTTTTGGATATCAAGGTGATTGCCGTCACTTTGGTTTATCGTCGAACTGAGTTTCGATTAGTATTATTCGTGGAATTCCTGGAGTTCTAAGTAGTTGGAGTCGTCCTTGAGCTGTTAGTTCAAGTTTGGAGTCGTTTCGATGTATATACTGCGAGTTATGATTTTTACAAACCGAGCGTGCTGCTGAATCGAATTAATTCATGATAAATCGTGTGATTGTCCGAATGCTGTGAAATTTTACATGTGATCTTCTGTGATAATTTTGTAAGTCGTGTAAAATTTTCAAGTCGAAACTCCATCTGTAACTATTTTAATTATATAAATCGGTTTCTGGTCAGAATCTTGTAAAATTCATAATAACTCGTACACTTGGAGTTTTGAGCTGAAACCTTGAGGAGTATGTTATTTTGAGTTATTATGTGTTGTGTCAAAATTTTGGATTAAAATTCGAATTGTAGCTATATGAACTATTAAACGTCGGATTTTTGCACTGTTTTATTTTAAATATTTAAAAATGCTCCCGAATGACTTTTGAGCTGAAACTTGGTGAAGTTATGTGATTTTATATACCCTGTGATATGGTAAAGTTTCAGGTTAATTGGCTGAGTCTAACTCCAGATTCTGAATTTTGTCTATTTTGGTGTCTAAATGCTCGGTTGTCCGTTGTTTAGGTTCGGGTTGGATTTTATTGATGTTGGCATGATTTATGTGTATCATCTGAGATATTTGAGTTGTGTTCAGGTCTAGTAGTCACTCCAAAGTACTTAACTCGGTCAAGGAATCCACGAGTCACTTAGTCGATATGGTTTCGGCTAATTATGTGTTGCTTGTGTGTTGCTTGTGTGTTGTGTTGTGTTGAATAGTCTGTTGATAGGACTATCATATTTGGTGTAGGTTCATCGAGCTGAACTTTCGCCGTTATTTCTTCAACTGCTTGTGTTGGCTATATTCCGGTATCCAGGTGGGTTTTAATCTAAAATTTGCTATGCTATATTTGAGGTAAGATTTTTATACTTTGTGTTCTATGAATGTATGTGTGAGTCATGAGAAGGTGCCTAGTGGTGGGCGATCTCCAACCTTGTGATAGGTAGACTCATTTTAGCCTAGTTGATGGGCCGTGACCGTTGATGTTGAACCTCGGCACGACTGTACTCCCGCTGACGAGTTTGGGCTTACCCCTGGCGGCTTTTGATAGGTGTGCACATGAGTATAGTGATGAGTAGGAGAGTGGTGTGTTATGTCTTTTGGCCATGTACTTGCATATGACTCTAGCATAGGTTTCTTACCAATATATTATGCATAGTGGTGAGCACCTCGTTTATATTTGTGCTCATCCCCACCTGCTCTTCATTGATGCAGGTTAAGCACGTGTTGGGCATGACGAGACTAAAGACGAGTGGATGGTCAATCATTATTAATGCTTTTATTTGCTTCCGCATGCTTTGTTATTTATGTTGGGATTACCAGACTTGTTTATTCATCCCTATTGCTTTTTGGGATTGGTTTAACTGTTGAACCATGTGGAATAATTTTATCAGTTTGGATTATGTTGACAATCCTATTGCTAGATATGTTGAAATCTAGACTTGGAACTTGAATTATGTTGAATATTCTCGTTTCCTTTATGCTGATTATGTGATTAACCTTGGAAAATTCTCAAGTAGCGCCAAATGTTTTATAAATCGATAAATGGTTTCGAAATTTTAAAACAAGATTTTTGGATAAGTCTGGAATTGTCTTTAAAAATCTTTGGGGCGTTACAGAGCCTTTCTCCTTGAACACATTCTATTTTCCATACTTCACTTCAGTATACTCATACACATACTGACTTAAGCATCAGAGGCTCTTCACCGACACAACCCCCGGTGTGAGAATTATTTGCAGGTTTCCGGCGTTCTACCGGCAAGGACCCAGATCTATCCGTTCAAACCGGACCAGGACGCTTACACTTGTATTATTGGCGCCCTCTGTAGGGATTCCTTGTTCAAAAAGTTGTGTTTGAAGCTCAGCTATGGCGGACAAAATTCCTAAAAACTTGCAGTCGACGTTCGACGAAGCTTGGACGACGACCAGGCCGTTGGGGCACGGCCCTCCTCTGGGATTTTCTGGCCCATCGCAGACTCCGGTCACTCCCGCACCTAACTTTCAAGGTGTAGGAGTGACGACGGCGATTCCCGGAGGAGATGCCAGCTCCGGTTGGGCCCAAGAGGCTCGTGTAGCAGCTGCAGCGGCGATGCCACCACCACCACCAGATCCAACACAAGGGCAGGGAGAAGTGCCACCACAGGCAGCCGTACAAGCCCCCGTCCAACAAGTGGTGGCGATGACCCGAGAGGAGATGCAGAGGATAGCAGCGGCAGTGGCGGCGCAGGCGGTGCAGCAAGTTGCGAGTCATACATCTCATGCCACCACTGCGCCGACCACGGTGGCCGGAAGCCAGGATGAGGATGTGTCTAGTTATGGAGAAGGAGGAGCTGGAAGAGATCGGGCAATGGAGAGGATGGCGGAGCAGTTGCGCCAGCTGCAAGACAAGGTGGAGGGGAGGCCAGAGAAGAGAGCTCGAGGACATCCCTTTTCAAGGGAGATTCTCGCTGCTCCTTTGCCAAATAATTTCAAGGAGACCAACTTGGTGTATGATGGGTCATCTGACCCATCGAGGCATGTGAGGACCTTTGAAAATATGGCTGTGTTGCATGGGTACTCTGATTCTGTTTGTTGCAGGGCATTTTTATCGACCCTGCGTGGAGGAGAACTCGATTGGTTTAATCAGCTTCCCCCTGGGTTGATCGCGAGCTTTGAGGACTTTACTGGCAAGCTTATCAATCAATATTCAAGCGCGGTGGTGCAGGAGAAAATGTATTTGACTTTGATGGCGATGAGACAAGGGGAGAAGGAATCATTGAGGAAGTATGTTGCTCGATATAACCAAACATGTTTAGAGGTGCACTCGGCTTCGTACGAGGTGAAGGCGGGTGGATTGATAAGGAGTCTTCGAGCAGGGCCTTGTCGAACTTCCCTGGCAAAGACCCCTGCTCGATCATATGAGGATGTTCTGAAGCGGTGCAGGAAGTATATTAACTTGGAGGAAATGGAGATGGAGTTTGTAAAGCCGAGGAGGAATTCACCCAAACGGAGTGGGCAGAAGAGGGCATCACCCCGAAGAGAAAGTCGAGATTCGAAAAGGGAGAAGAGAGATGAGTGGCAGAGGAGGCCGATGTTGTTCGAGAGACAGAGATACCACACTTTTACGCCCTTGAGGAAAGACATGACAGAGGTCCTCGAGGCCATGGAGCAGAAGATGCCGAGTGAGGATGTGACTTGGCCGAAGACGAGGTTTACAGGCCCAATTCGACCTAGGTCGGATATTTACTGTCGCTTTCACCGAGATTATGGTCACACCACGGAGAATTGCAGACATTTGAAGGATGAGATCGAGAGGCTGATTCGAGCGGGATATTTGAAAGAATTTGTGTATCATGACAGGGTGAAAGGGAAAGGAAGGAGAAGGTGTAGGGAGGATTCGGAAGAAAGGAGTGATAGAGATGAGGAGGGAGATGGCGGAGATGGTCGAGACGGTCGAGGAAAGAAGCCAAGGAGAGATGGCGATAAAGGGGGGCATGGTGGAGAAGCCCCGGTGAAGAGAGGGACGATTTACATGATTTCCTGTGGGCCAACGGATGGAGACTCGAATAGGGCCAGGAAGGAGCATGCTCGAGCTGTGAAGAGGAAGAGAGAGGAGGTGGGGATTACGGCTCGCATGCCTGTCATAAGTTTTAAAGCAGAGGATGCCAAGGGAGTGGTCCTACCACACAATGATGCTTTGGTGATAACCCGGAGGTTGCAGGCTTCGACGTGAAAAGAGTGTTCATTGACACCGGAAGTTCGGTGGACGTGATGTTTTATGACTGTTTCGTGCAAATTAACAAAGAGTTGAATACAGAGTTGAAACCGGTGACCACGACACTCTATGGCTTTAATGGAGGGGAGGTGATGCCGATGGGTGAGGTGAGTTTGCCAGTGGCGCTGGGAGTGGGCGAACTGAGGAAGGTGCGCATGGTGAGGTTTGTGGTCGTAGGGGCTGAATCATCTTATAACATCATTATGGGGCGGACGAGCTTGAACGCGTTCCATGCAGTCGTATCCATGTACCACATGACTATTAAATATCTGGTAGGCGAAAACGTAGGGGAGATTGCTGGGGACCAGCTCACTTCGAGGAGCTGCTACCAAACAACGGTTAGCAATAATAAGCAGCTGGCGAGGAGGCAGGCCCAGTCAGAGGAGGAGAGGATTAATCGGCTAGGTGGGTCGAGATCGAAAGAGGATAAGCAAAGAATGGACAAGGGCAAGGAGAAGATGGATATTCAGCCAGGGGGAGAGGTGGAGGAGATTCAGATGATCGAGGGGTGTGAAGAGAGGAAGTTCAGAATCGGGAAAGACTTGGAGGAGCCTATTCGGTCGAGGCTTATTGATCTGGTCAGGGAGTTCACGGACATTTTTGCCTACACCGCGGAGGAGTTAACGGGGATAAGTGCGGAAGTGATCGAGCACCGGCTGAACATCGACCTCAGTGTGAGTCTGGTGAAGCAAAAAAGAAGACACCATGGGGCCGAGATGGACAAAATCATTGAGAAGGAGGTCGAGAAGTTATTGGGAGAAGGGCATATCAAGGATATCCAGTTCCCCGAATGGTTGTCAAATACGGTGATGGTGTCGAAGGCGGAGGGAAAATGGAGGATGTGCATTGATTTCCGTGACCTGAACAAAGCGTGCCCGAATGATCTATACCCGCTGCCCAGAATCGACCAGCTGGTCGACTCAACGGCAGGGTGTTAATTGCTGAGCCTGATGGATGCCTCCCAGGGATATCATCAAATTACCTTGGCGAGAGAAGACAAGAAGCGTGTGAGTTTTGTAACAAATCGAGGGACCTATTGTTACGTGGTCATGCCGTTCGGTCTAAAGAATGCGGGTGCCACATATCAAAGGTTGGTCGATAAAATTTTCAAGGAGCAACTGGGGAGGAACATGGAGGTATATGTGGACGATATGTTGGTGAAAAGCAAGGAGGAGTTGGATCATGTGTGAGACTTGAGAGAAACATTCCTAACATTGCGGAGATATGGGATGAAATTGAATCCTGCTAAGTGCTCTTTTGGGGTGAGATCGGGGAAGTTCTTGGGCTACTTGGTGACCAAGAGAGGTATTGAGGTGAATCCGGAGAAGGTTCGAGCTGTAATGGAGATGAAGCCGCCGACGAATGTTAAAGAAGTACAGATCTTAGCTGGTCGAATTGCGGGGCTGAGCTGTTTTATATCGAAGGTGGCGGAGAAGAGTGGTCCATTATTTAAAACATTGAAGAAGAGTGCAAAATTCCAATGGACGGAGGAGGCGCAGGGGGCCTTTGAGGAGCTGCAAAGGGTGTTAGCCAACCTTCCCCTATTGGCTAAACCTGTGTAGGGCGAGGAGCTGGTGCTATACATTTCTATAGGAGACAGGGCGGTAAGCTCAGTATTGTTACGGGAGGAAGGAGTAACACAATTTCCTATCTATTACGTGAGCAGGGTGATGCAAGGGGCGAAAATGAGGTATTCAAAGATCGAGAAGTGCGCTTTGGCTGTGGTCGTGACCGCTCAAAAGTTGAGACCCTATTTCTTGAATCGTAAGGTGAAGGTGCAAACAAACATGCCTCTGGAAGAAACACTTAGCCGACCATCAGTCTCCGGTCAATTGGTGAAATGGGCGGTCGAGTTGAGTGAATATTCTTTATTATATGAACCAAGGAGGGCCATAAAGGCGCAGGTGTTGGCTGATTTTATCCAGGAAGGCACGAAAGTCGAGGGGGAGTTAGAGGGAGTATGGCAGCTGTTTGTGGATGGATCAGTGGCGCGAAGTGGGGCAGGTTTAAGAATTGTCCTTGTTTCTCCTAAAGGCGATTACTTGGAATTTGCCGTTAAAGTGGGGTTCAAAGTATCCAATAATGAGGCCGGATATGAAGCAGTAATCAAAGGCCTGAGTTTAGCCAAGGCGGGAGGAGCTCGAAAAGTACAAGTGCATTCTGATTCTCAACTAGTGGTTGGGCAATTTCAGGAGGGATTTGAAGTCAAGAAGGACCGGATGCAAAAGTATGTAGACGAGATGAGGAAGTTGAAGGAGGAGTTCGATTCATTCGAGCTGATACAAATTCCTCGAGGAGAAAATGGTCGAGCGGACCTATTATCGAAAATCGCTCAGAGCTTGGTGGACTGCAAGAGCAGAAGTGTCACTTTATTGCATCTTGAAAGGAGTATGGTCGAAGCAGAAGTGGCGGAGATCGAAGAAGTGGAAGATTGGAGGGCCCCAATCTTGGAGGAGCTGAAAAGAGGAGCGACAAAAGTGGTGAGGAGGTTTTTCGAGCAGGGAGGCATTCTTTACAAACGGTCGTATGGGGGGCCCTATTTGCGGTGTGTTACTAAGGAAGAAGGTCGATACGTGCTGAGAGAGATGCACGAAGGATGCTGCGGTGATCATAGCAAGTCGGGCGCTTTGGCCGAATTGGGAAGGGCCATATCTGGTCGAGCGAGTGCACGCAGGAGGAGCGTACTCGCTGAAAGATGCTGAGGGCCGATCGCTTGCCAGGTCATGGAACATAGCTAATTTGAAAAAATATTATGTGTGAAAATTTTCGTTTCTTTTAAAAGGAAAGTCGAAAAATTCGAACAAAGATGTAAATTGCAAAGTTTGCTCAAGAAACAATGAAGTTCAATGATTTTTCTGATTTTATTCACTTTATTGTACACTTTCTTATGCTTGGAATGTTGGTATAATCTGGATGACAGGATGTGTGTGTGGTATGGTTTGACTTGGAAGTCGCTTGTTTAGAACATTCCTTGGGGTGGGCAGGTTGGTCGAAGACCTCCTGTTTAGAACATTCCTTGGGGTGGGCAAGTGTGAAGGCCAAAACCCACCATGACTAAGGCCCTCGGGCTGGGTGATCGCTTGTTTAGAACATTCCTCGGGATGGGCAGGTTGGTCGAAGACCTCCTGTTTAGAACATTCCTCGAGGTGGGCAAGTGTG